AAAAGCCAAAAAAGCAGTGTCTATCTGCTGTTCCATCCTTTCATTTGCAACATAATAAGTAAGCCCCAAACTCTGAATTCCCAAACCCCTTATACTCCCAGTTTCCAACTCACTGTCAATCTGTCCATCTCATTTTGCATTTGGTTTCCCTAAACCACCTAAACCTCAAAGCCTGGGTACTCATGTTCGGGCTTTTGCATGAGGGGACCTTGATGCAGGTGTAGGGTTTGGGGTGCTTAGGGTGTAGGGCTCGGGGTGTTTAGGGGGCAGGGCTTGGGGTGCTGAGGGTGTAGGGTTTGGGGTGTTCAGAGTGTAGGGTTTGGTGTGTCCAGAGTGTAGGGTTCAGTGTGTTGAGAGTGCAGCTTTGGGGTTTGGGATATGTCATGTGAGTTTTATGGTGCAAGGTTTTGAGATTAAGACGTGGTCTTTAGGGTGTAGGCCAAGATGCAAAAAGGGGTTAGCAAGCCCACGAGATAGACTAGGGTCTGGCCATAGTCAACTAGTGCAAGACATCCCTCTACAACCCGGGGGGGCGGGGTTTAGGGTCTGTCGTCCAGTCTGTGATGCTTCCCCCTGGAGGCTAGATAGCCAGGCAGGCGGGAAAACCCGAAACTCCAAATTGAGTAGGCCATCCTCTAAATTTAAACCTTTAACGTTAAATTCTTAAATCTCATTCTCAAAATCCTACATAAATCTAGAGCCGTGCGGCCTGACATCCCCGTGGTGCATGCATGTTCTTAGGCTCTGAAAAATTGACTAGAGGCACTTACGACATACTGCTGTTTAGTAGGAATAGAGATGAGTGCAGGTAATATCCCCATAGTAAACTTCCCCCCCAGGGATAATGAAGCCCCCCATCTCCCCCCATGAACAAATTTTGCCCTAGATAAATAGTGGTACCATCTTGGAATATTCATTCTCAGGGTCTTAGGGGGTGGGAGGGTCACTTTGCACGTGGAAGGGGGTTCAGTCCCTGCATACCCTATATTCGTCTCTATGAGGCTGGGGAAAGCACCGGTTCCAGCTGACCTATGGCGAGGTGGTGGTGGGTTAGGGCTTGTTTGCTCGGGGTTAGTAGCGAATAAGGGAACATATTATGTAGGGATTATATAGGGATTGTATTCCCTTATGACCTCCTAACCACCAGTAAGTTCGGGGTAGGGCTGGGGGGCTGGGGTTTGGGTTTATGGCGAAGAGCTCCAGGGTTTGAGGCTTCGGGTTTGAGATGGCCCTTATAAAGTGCAGGAAGAAGTTGGTGCGAGTCTGTACGGTTTTTTGGCCCAGGTCCGGTTTTCAGGAGTTGCTTAGTTAGGGACTGCTATAGGGCTCAGGGTTGGTGCCTATAATTGAATTGCGTAGCTGGCTGCAAATTCGCAAGGCTGTTGAGCCCAATAAGGTAATTGAGGTGCAGCGGGCTGCCAGTTCAATTGCCTTTTGAACGACTTCCAACCTAGGGGTCGGTTGAAGTGCTGCCCCCAAAACGGGCCAAGGATTGCTGTGGGCTGCCAGCCCCCACAGCTTTTGAGTTCCACAGGGTCTTTGCAGTGCTGGCGGGCTGCCCCCAACAGGCTGCCATCGTGTTTTGAAGCCAACATTGTCTGCGGTAATCCTAGCACATGTTTTATTTGGGGGAGGAACCCCCCCGCCAGAATAAGAAATGG